GTGTTGAGACGTCTTTAGAATACTTTGTATTTCCAGGGAGTTTAGTTATAATATTTTTTTGGCGCCCAAATTTCCGTTTTTTCCATTGAATCTGTATCTATCTCTCTATGGATGAATCATGATTACTATTATATTCTTCGTCATCAACATCTTCATCTTCTTCACTAAATGAATCCTCATCAGAAGAAACTGTTTCAAGAGATTTCTCAATCTTTTCATCTCTTCATCGTAAGGAATATACGGCCATGCTTACAACTCAAGAAAAACCTATACTAAAAGCTTGAAAACGAGAAGTGCGAAGTGACTCACTGAGAAACGCGAGTACACGCGCGGGTATGACATGCCCGAACAATGCTGTCCTAAAAAACCGTTGCACTTGCCACCTCAGGAATTTCCCCATTTAAGTATGTGACCTTGAACTCAGCTACACCAAGTTTCGTCCTTTTATGAAAGAATAGGTGAGAAATATACAAAAAGAAAAATGCACATGGGTATGACATACCCGTTGCGTGTGCTCGCGGGTTAAAGAAATGGTTGACTTTTAATTAAGTAACAATAATGAAAAGTTAGAATATCCCTCCATACTAATAATATTCAAGTCACTTAACCTCATAAAAAGTACACCATGTTTCAAAACGAATATACATATTACATATGTATAAGTGTTATTTTGTCCAAACTATCGATCACTGCTCCTCGGCTCAGCTATTGGCGAAACGAATACATAGTCTAGTTTATATTAACCCTCTAATGCCTACCACAAGAAATTTCCAAACAAAAAATTATTTGTTAGTTAAAAGGGTGTTATTTTAGATTAAATGAAACAAAAAAGGCGAAAAATTGTGAAAAAAAAATGTTTTTTAATGGTAGCAAATATGCTACCATGGGCAGATTAGGGTACAAATCAAGTGATTTTCAAACACATTTTTTTAAAAATTTCTTTTAGTTTATGTACAGTTATTTACAAATGATAAGCTCTAAAACAGTTTCTGGCCTTGTTAAAACAAAGATATTTGTCACATTTAACTATAATTCCTTTACGTAAATACAGTCAAAAGTCTTTAATCCAGACTCGTCGGGACTTCGATTCCGGATTATCGGTTTTTTCGGATTATAGATCATCAGTTTAAATCTGGTAAGATGGCATGCAGAAATTATAAAATTAAAAATATGAAACTGTAATTTATGAAATAAAGAGCAATTATGATCTAAAGGATATAAAATTTCCAAAAAAAAAAAAAAAAGCTTAATATTTATTTGTTTACTTTATTAAACATTTCTTTAACGCGCGCATGCGTAAAGCATACATTACGCATAGTCGAAATTAGAAAATTGCAACCAGAAAACTATTTGATGTGTATTCGTGGTACTTATAATGACGAGGAATTTGATTTAAATCATATCAAAGACGGAGTACATCGAGATGAAATAATACATTTAGTAAGGAATTATAAGCCAAATAAAATAAAAACATCTGCCCTGAAGATAAGGATAGTGCTAACAACTTCCAGTTCATTTCGTGCCGCGACGTCCCCCCCCCCACAGAGCAACGCGAAATTGATAAACAGATTTCGGAATGGTTAGAGAAACAAAGGATATGCCTTTATCCATTTTTTGCAGCAATTCCCCTTTTTGTTTGATGGACATCAAAACATGCTTTCGCTTTGTAGATCTTTTGGCAGCTCCAGAATCGGAAATTCTTTTTGACATATAATCGAAAGTTCAAGCTTACTTTTATAAAATTCCTCTAACAGTCTGCAAAAAATAATAAGCCGGATCCAATTAGAAGGGATCCAATTAGAAGATTAAGGAACAAGGCAATCTGCAACATTAACTGAAACAGATAATTAGATAATTTTAGCTTAGCTTATACCGTCCGTTATACATTAAACGCGCATGCGTAAACATATTATGCGCATGGTAAAGGCATTATGCACATGCGTAAAAACATTATGCATTTACGCATGCGCAGAAAGCTTTGAGAGATTTTGTAGCTTTGAGATCCGGATTGTAGATCATTCCAGATTATGGATGTACGGATTAAAGACTTTTGACTTTATTCCTATTTAAGTGTGGCATCCACTATTCCATATGTGGCATCTTTGCCGTATGGAATTATTACACCGACCAGTGATGTACACCATAAGTTCTTTGATCCTAAAAGTAATAAATAATTGGAAAACAAATATTTAAGGTTACAATATTTATATTTACAACTATGATATCTGCATTCTTTACAGATGCTACAGAATAATCAATGGATGCTCAGCCTTCTTTTTTAAAATCCTTCTCTTTCTTTTATTTACATTTCATTTGCCTGTTTTCTCTAAAAGTCCCTACAAATCCTATATTTTTCTTGGATAATTCACATACGAATGGGATTCCAGAGAAAACATTACCAGCAAAGATAGTAGTTTTTGTTGGGTTATTTAGAGTACTGCATATTTGCATCACAACACCTCCTCCAAGACCTACAGTTTGATCTCAATAATAACCTTCAAACAAAAGTGTAAACATCAAAATCGTAACAAATGCCTGATTGTCCACACAGGGCCCACATTTTTAAACCCCGCTTTGCTATGAGGTTTTTTAGGCTTATATTGTTTGATATGGATTGTCCCACGAAATGGAATCATTGCTTCATCAATAGACTGCTTGGTCTCACCTGGAACGGATAGCATGTGTTCTCTAAGTCTAGACAACCACGGTTGCACTTTCCAGCATTTGTCACTTCTAACATCATCATCAATTTGTGAATTATCCGCAATATGCAAAAGTCTTAAGATTTTTTCAAATCTGTTTCTAGACATTACTTCTGCAATTGGTTCATACTTTATTCCCTCTTCTTAATATCCTCTAATATGAGGTATACGGATTAATCCCATTCTGATAATCATTTTGAAAAAAAAATTATCCACGATTCTGTTTAAATCTACTGCCGTAAATATTTAATACCCCGAATTGCAGTGAACGTGCAAATTATAAAATACACATTCAAGAAAGATTTGGTAGTGATAGGAGGATTGCCTCAACCGAGACTGACTGGAATTGAACGAGGTGCAGCATTTATACACATTTCGCGCAGATGCCCACAAGAATGCGGGGTGTGATGGATATACGATACTGAGCAAGAGAAACTAGACTATTTTTCTAATGACATTTGTACTTTTCAAAATGGATGATTCAGGAAATAAATATTTAATTAAAAATTATTTTGCAATCTGTTCCAATTTAAAAATTAGAAAGGAAAAGTTAAATATTTATCCTATTACTTAAAACTAACTTACTTAAAATAGTATATATAAATTTAATACCTATCTTGATAATTTGTACGTTTTATAATTAAGGTTGTATTGTAGGTTTAGCAACAAAGTACATTATTATTGCATTCAATATTGCTGTATGGGGGGGAGGCACAATGAAAATTATGATTGAAAATTGGGTCGCAAATATTGAAAGTTTTAGAAGCACAACTTTAATGTTTATAATCGGCGCGTGGAAATGAAACTCCATCTCATGACATTAATTGAATTCAGATGGTTTACAGAATTTTGTAGAAGTTGAAATTCTCTCTTGGATGAAGAACATATAGAAAGACATTTGTTGCTGTAGTTCTAGAAAATGTGTCAGTCATGCAAAAAATGTTAATCAATAATTATGATTGACTAACATATTATTATTGATTTATTAGGCTTTTTGAAGATGAGCCTAAATTAATAGTGAAAAGACAACAAGCAATGAAAAAAGTAATGTATGCCATTTTCTCTATTTCTGGAGAAAGCCAAGTTAGGAGGACAGAAGGCAGTTCACACATGCGAATAGCAGTAATTTTCCGATCTCTGATTGGCTCACCTGTGGCTGGAATTGCAGGCACAAAATTTCAAGTTTAAAATCATGTAAAAATAATACAGAATGCAGAAACATTATTATGGTTTTAAAAACATTTTAAACATGCCATGTGGGAAGTTTGATTTTCAGAGCCATCATTTTGTTTTTTTCTTTCTTACAATATATAAACTATATCATGATAACTTATTTATTTTTTAAGTTAATGATATTTTATATTTTGAATAGATATAGGACACTCTACAATTCCTAGTCCTTGGTGTCCACTATCATTAAGTGATTTTGGTAGGAGATTAAATATACTCCAATTTAGCAGATATTTCTTGATAATGGATTTAGTTCTCTGACAATCCACTAATAAGAGGTTCAGCTACATACAAACTATACACAATTTTTAACTGTAATAAATAAATTTTGGTGTACTTTTAAATAACATATTTTGAATTTTACATATTTTTAAGCATTTGAATTGAATAAGGCAATGTACACTAAGGGGTGATATTTTGACATGGTGGAAAAAGGGAAATGAGATAATAAATGAGGTTGTGAACCATTGTGTTATGAAATGAGGATATGAAGTTGTGAAAAATGAAATGAATGAAATTTCAATTTTTTTGATAGCTTATGTTCTTGAGATGGAATAAAAAATTTATTTGATTATTTGATGATTTAATATTACAGATGGAATCAGAATAAATAAAAGACTAAAAAACTGTCTTATATTTACTTTAAAGATAAGGGAGAAAACAAAAATTCATGAAGACATTCCGAAATGTATTTTTCAGCTAACTAACCATCTGCTGCTTGATTTTCTACAGATTTTTTAAAAAATAAACAATATTGTTTCAGTATTTCTAAAAGTTAAACAATCCTTGGCAGCAAGAAAATTATTTGCCCCAATCTTCCTAGAAAATTATTCAGCCTTTTGCAGTATGTATGTGTACTCATTGCTCTAGCTTGAGAAAACCATGGCAAGAGAACATTCTCTATCAACCACTTTAACTTTCTGTTCTTATTTCCACTGCAAATTTTCATTTTCGAAAACAAGCACTGAAATTTCATCATGAGATTCTAAAATCTTACATAGCATTACTACTAAATTACACCCAAATGAGAAACCACTTCTCTATGACCAATAATAATAAAATGAAAACCCCTGTAAATAATTTGTCTTTAATTTAGAATCACATGGTTGGCTGTACAAATCAAGATAACATGTTTGAGTATTTACATATATAACACATATATAAATACACATATACATATATAAATTTGAGAACAACCGGAGGGCAGTTTATCATAAGATATTATTACACAGAAAATTGTTTAAAATAGTTAAGGTTAAAAGTACTTGATTATTAATATCATTTTAGTAAAATAATTTTCAGCTATTTTTAATTGTTAGAGGAAAACCCACTTGATTTGATTCTATCTTTCAATGCATTTCACAGAGTTTCCATGTCTTCACCAGTGTCATTTCGCTGTGTCTGATACAGCTTCTAGCTCATCAAATGCATCTGCCGTATCTTCCAAGTCATCATCATTCATTGCATTCTTTTTTTTCAAATGCTTTATCATAAGTTTTAGATCAGAAATAATTCTTTTTTGTTCATGTCTAATTTTCTGCAGAATCTCAATTTTCTTCACATACTCTACACTCTGTTCCTCAGCTTTCTGTAAATTTTTTTGAATACGATACAGTTCAGAAGGAAAATTATCATCAGAGTCATTACTATCTTCTTGTGAAACTGAGTCCTAAAAATAAGACAGTGATTACAAAATATGTACATAAAACTCTCGTATACAAAAATTGCCACTGCTTAAGAATATTTTTAAATTATTGAATTTTGCTGGTTCGATTATATTTTAAATTTTTCCTACATTTTAAGCTCATTACGGTCATTGAGCAATTTCATAACTACTGATTGTGTTCTGTCATATTGAGAAGAACTGTACAAGTAAAGTTCCAGAATTGTAAAGTGTTTCGTTTGGGAAAATAAATTTTATCACACTATCACCAGTTCTGTATGCATACAATCCATTACAAACCCACATAATAATAATAATCACATAATAATGCATTGCTCCATACAGCACTAAAATGTTTATAACTACATGAGAAGCTTTTCTACATACACACTGACTCAACAATCGAAAAATCATGGGTACTCTTGTGTGTACTTCACTGCTGATATAGCATAATGGACATCAGCAGCTCATACTTAAAGCTTCCAATTAATTTTCAAAGATAACTTGACATATCTTTATATTTTTTAGTTAATAAACACTAGTCATGTGAATACTTTATAACTTTCTTGTTGAACTTTCACTTTGATTTTTGGAATCCCTGTGTTTGACTAATGGAACCCACAGTTTGAAGACCATTGATTTAATCCATAAGTTCCCAAAGTGATCTGTATGACCCTCAGGGATCTACTTCGAACTACATGGGATCCATGTCAATAAAAGAAAAAACTGGAGATGCACAAAATGTAAATATCGGTCCACAAGACTGGATCCCATTTAAGATTGTTATCACTAAAATTTAGACATTCTGCGAATGCTATAATGCACATAACACAGATGTTACCTAGGTGCTTACAGAATACTTATATAATAGGCATATAAGTTAACTAATTATATATTAATTAAGTATCTTTTAGAAATTTCTGTGAATAGGTACCTATTCACTTTGTGGTGACAGTACTTACAATTTCTAAAAACTTGCACATTTGATACCAGTAGCAACACTCTGTGATGTTCAGGCGCAGTAATAATGCTCATACAGACATAAACCAGAGCTCTGCAAGGACGGTGTAGACTTGTACAACTTGTGCTTGCACAAATTTGTTTAATTCATCAGTTATAAATGCGAGTATTAGAGACAAACGCTACATTTGTTTTCTAAATTTTGAGGACAAAAAAGATAAGCAAATGTTTTCAAAAATATAAGTAGTAGGTAGGTACATACAAGTTAAAGTGAATCAAAGTCATCTTCTTTGAACTTTGAAAAAAAAAAAAAAATATTTTTTTAGAAAATAAAATATACATATATATATTTTTGGAAGTTCATCTGACTACATAGAGATGCCAATCGTGTTTACAATCCTGTAATAAAATATTCTTTTTGTAGTTCCTCTGACTATGTAGAGATGCCAATCGTGTTTACAATGCTGTGTAATTTCCAAAATTTAAAGCCAATGTACCTAGATATAATAACAAAGGTAGTTCTGGTGAAGTGCTTCTGTCACTCCCTCTTTAAAAACCAATATAATATTTTGTATTATAATGAGTATAACCCAATTTTAGATTGAGTAAGTAGTTAGTTTGCTTTTGAAAGTTTACAGACATTTTGTGGTGACTTTTAATTTTTTTCGGGGAAAATTTTGTATACGGTAAATTTTGCAAAGTAACTTGAGTACTTAACACAAGCTTAAATTAAAATCTTACACTTAATTTTTTATTTTTTTTAATTTAACAGCTTAATTTTTTACCACAGCTACTAAACATGGTTGAATCTAAAAAGAAATGTAGACAATATAGCATTAATTGTTGAAGTTTGTCTTCATTCCATTACTGGCAGATAAACACCTGCTCATGCACTTTTTACTTAACAAAGTTTTAATGATTCTATGAAACCATCCAAGCTGAAGGATCACGTGAGAAGGTATCACCCTGATAAAACAGGTAAAGATAAGAAATACTTTCAAACATTGAAAAAAAAAAAAAAAAAAAAAAAAAAAAACACAGAAGAGATGCACAATGGACAGTGTGTTCACTTCAGTGTCAAAAAGGGAAGATAATGGTTTGCAGGCATCTTACAATAACCTCACTATTTATAGCAAAATCAAAAGAGTCGCATACTGTTAAGAAATGCCCAGCTGCAGTAAGATAGCTTTCCACAAAGCAAATGCCAGAAAATGGCAAGGAAAGGCAAGGTTGCCAGATTTGGTGCCAAATCACACATTTGGTGATATACCATAGACACAGCGAGAATATTCTAGAACGAATTCTTACCAGTTTCCCCCAGAATGTTCTCGAAGGCAGGTCAAAAGCTATATAAACCCTGAGTGTATGTGGAGTAGCAGAGTATTGAGAGTTCATAATGAGAGTATCTAGAGTACATTGAGTTCAACATCAGTGTCTTAAGCTCTGAGGGTGACCGAACTGAGTTGGAAGCTGAAGGCTGTGTTGCTGATTGTTCAACTTGCTTGTTGTAGTTTCTTTTTATGACTGCATACGTGTTTTTAGAGCTGTCCTGAGTAATACAGGCTAATAAATTGTGTTTTCATTCTTCATCAAGTCTTGTCGTCAATCACTTCAAATTCACGAACCTGTAGAATGCAACAATACTACAGCAGAACACCTAATTTTACCAGCCACTGAAGAGGTTTTAAATACAGCTCTACACAGACATGCATATGATATACTCAAAAGAATTCCTTTGAGCAACAATACAATTTAAAGACATAGTGATGAAATAAGTGATGTTGAAAGCTTCTTGTGCAATTATCTGCAAATGGCATATTTCTCCATACAACTGGGTGAGTTGACTTTGCCTGGTAATGAAGCACTATTATTACCATATCATTGTTATGGACCAAAAAAAAAATCCATGAAAAACTATTTCGTGAGAACTTTGACAACAGGCACTAAAGGTGAATCAACATTCAAGGTTTTGATAGGTTATTTTATGGAAAAAGTGATCTTTTTATCCAACAGAATGTCAGCAGCAGCAGGTGGAACACCTGTCATGTTTGGGATCTATTGTGGTTTTATTAAGGCATTTAAAACAAAATATACCCGAGGTGTTTTGCATCATCATCATCAAGAACATTTAGTTGCTTAAAATCTGAGTAGCAGATTGTATCAATCTCTTCATCTTAACCGCAATAAACAAAATTCACAGCAATGTATTGAATTCTACGTTATTTGTATGGTTATGTGAAGAAAACAACATGGGCTTTCATTGATTATTCCTTTACACTGAAGTATACTCACTGTCAAAAGGCTTGTGTTTGATTAAGATTTTTTTTAAGTTTCCGAATTTTTGGTGCTTAAGATGCCATTTTAAAAGAAAATGTAATCAAACAGAAAGTCGTGCACTGCTTATTTAAGACATTTGTTTACTAAATCTAGTGAGGTGAACTAGCAGTTAAAGGTGATAATAAAAAGCAAGTCAATCATTGCAGCATTTCTTTCCAGAATTAACCTAATGAAGCAAAACATTAAATGGCGAGAATTTTCCCAATTTGTCACAGACAAACTGCCAGGATGATGACATTTTGGCCCATGTTCAACATTTAAATGCCCTTCCCACAGACTTTAAAATCTGGTTTGAGGCAGTTTTGATTATAGAAATACTACAATGAATTATCAATCCATATAGTGACATAGAACAATCGAATTTTACAAGAACTGACTGGAATAAGCATTAACGAAGAATTTAAGGTCCAATTTAAAAAAGGATGTCAACAATTCTGGCTTCAGAGAGACATACCTGTTATTTATCCTGCATTATGAATTATCACAAGAAAGATTTTGATAGCTTTTCCATTCTCATATCTCAGAAAGCTGTTTCAATGTGGCAAGGTTAAGCTTGACCAATTTCAAGCCAAATATACAAAATTTGCTATTAAACCACCAGTTCCAATCCTCCCATTAAAAATCACTTTTTTTTTTTTTTTTTTTTTTTTTGGTGTGTGTGTGTGTGTGTGTGTACTTGTTTTATGTAAGAACATTACAAGATTTGCATTTTATGCCGTTTTGATTAATAAAGGCATACTTGCCAACCTACAACACTAAAAAACCAGTATTTTTCAATGACATGATTTTTTAAATGATAAAATATATTTCTTAATAATGAATTAGCTTTAAACAGTTACTAATTAATATCTGAAAGTTCAGTTACTAATTTTTAAATGCAAACAGTGCAAAAATATTTACATGTAAAAAAAACATTTTTATTATTTGTATCTTTTAATAAAAATATAGTATTTTAATCAGTGTTTATACAAATGATATGAATAGTGACAAAATTTGCTTTTGTTAATAAATAAATTTCATAACTTGGTTCATAGTGATTGCCATTCAGGCCTGTTTTTGCTAATAAAAGTTTTTCTAATGTGTCATTAATAGTATTAGATCTAAATTTAGTAACTGTTTTCACAATACTGAAAATCCTCTCACACTCTGCATTAATTGCTCAGGAGGCCAACATTACACTATAAAAATGCTACCAGTACCTTTCAGTTTTCCAATTAAATTAAACTAGGTGCCAATCCTAGTTGTTTTATAACTTCATCCAAGTTTTTCTAATTGTAAACTGAAAAATTGCGACTGCAATTTATCAGTTGCGACATATTATCACCTTTCATGACTAAATGAAGTAAAACTGGAAATCTGTTAAAAAATAATCTTATATCAGAAAAAGATGCATTAGAACAGAAACATCTGTAACTCTAGCATGTAAAATCACTTCATTGTTGATTGGAAATTTCAAATTTTTCGGCTCAATAAACACTATCAAAGTACATAGCTCTGTGTCAGATGTAAAAAACACATTTGAAGTTGATTTTTTTTTAAATTCAGCATTAGGGTAGCATTCCAAAACCAGCCATCCAGGAAAAAAATTTCACCTGATTCATTCTGTCATGTGACATTTCCATACATTTTGCTTTCATCTGGATGTTTTGAAATGGCTGGGTGTTTGGGTAAAACTTTACCTTTGGTATCATTCCATTTAAGAATGCTTGAGTACAAACATTACACTACATGGCTGGTTTTGGAATGAGCCCTAAGAAGGGGTCTACGAAAACAGAAAAAATTGGGAAGTAGCCTACAGGACAAAAAAAGTTTGTGAACCTCTAATCTATATGATGATATACCCCCATTACAATTCTTCACGATGGCAATTTTTTTTTTTTTTTTTCTAATTTATGGATGCACTGGGCAGGATAATTTAGGACATGGCGGCGATTGAACGAGGCAGCAAAATGCCTAGTGGTTCTGGCCACATTTAAATCACCAAAATTGTTCACTGATAACTCCAAATACAGCACTATTTCAACATAGCATCAAAAGAAATCCACCATAATTTTCAAGTATACAGAATGTTTTAAACATTTTAGGAACTAACTCTGAAATCATTTTGATAATCTTTTCAGAGAGAGCTGGATGATTCTAATAAAAAACTCACAGCATGGTATACAAATACTGCATTGTGAACACAAATCTATATATCTAGCTCATGAACTATTCAGCCATGGCTGCTAAATTATGAACTGTTAATTTAAATTTGAGATGTTATCCAAAAATGCTTGTTAAACTATAATGAGAAAATAAATTTTGTGATTCAAAAGTTTAAGTATGCATACTATTTTCTATGCATACTTAAACTTTTGAATTTATTTCAAGTGCACTATTTTAATAAGTATAGGTAGATATATTTTTTAAACTGTATTTTAAAATCGGTTTTTATTAAATGCTAGTTTCAGATTTTGCCTTATTTAAAAATACACACTGCATTCAGTATTGAAAGGGTAACAGATTTCAAGTACAGGTTTTCCAAGTTAATTCATATTTACATTAGGAGGGAAAAAAAAGCCATGCAAAAGTCCTATTATGATTTAGACAAATAATATCAGTTTTACAGTGTGAACTAAAAGTGTTTCTTCTTCTGAATTAATTTTTATGAGTAATGGAATAGAAAATAATAGATTTTTAGAATTATTTAATTTATTAACTTACTTCGTTAACTGTATATTGACCAAGATGAATCACAACAGGTTTCTGAAGCTCTGTTTCCTACAAAAAAGAAAATTTATAACTGAATATATAGCAACATTAACTGGAATATCAATCTGAAAAGGAAATAATAATATATTTCCTTTGGAGGGGGAGGAGGACTGGCAAAATAAAAATGAAACTATTACTTTGAAAGATAAAAAATTTACCCTATTTTTTATTACAAGAGGTTGTTTTTTTTTTTTTTTTTTTTTTTTTACTCCAAAGGGGCTTTGTCCCTGAACGACTATTGTTTTTGTTTTACAATTTTGCGTTGAATCACTATAAATGTCTGTTTCACTTTTCAAACTGTTGCCACCAAATGTTAGAGTCCTGCATTATATTTGAAGAAATTAAATAATGAAAAATCTGCATAAATGTATGTCTATTTCTCGCATTGTGATAAAACAACGGTACATAGAGCCATCGAATATGGAATGACGTAATCCTTCTGTGAATATGGGCATGTGGAAGCCCAAATTTGAAATTTGGAATTTTTTTATTATCGATTTCATATTTTGTAAAACTAACGAATTTTTGAGTAACAAACTCAACGATTTAAAAGCGAGCAATGGCAACACTCTATTGGGGGTGGGAAAAACCTTTTTATCTCCAGCGTGCGGAACTGTGTATCGGAAATTCTAAAGAAAGGCTCATTTTAAAATTATTTTGCGACATTGCTATTGAACTGAATTTTATGGTTTAAGTGCAAAGAACATGATATTTAATAAATAAAGGTAACACATAAAACGTTAAAAAAACACCCCTTTGGACGTAATTTAAAATCTGAAACCTTTCAGATTTTTTGTTCATGTATAATTTTATATTTTATTTTATTTATTTATTTTTTAAAAACTTGATGAGCTTTTCCATGAATGATTTTCTAATAAGACCTGGCCAAATGTATGTGAAGATAATACTCTGATTTACCTTCCCAAAAATAAAATCTAAGATGAAATTATTTGTTTTTAGTGATTTTGCATGTTAATGCCAAACGGAAAATGAAGATAAATAAAATGTTCAAATAATCTACAAAATACACAGCCATACTTTAATGATGTTTTTATTTAATATGGATAAAAAGAAAAATTTCGCATGCCTATGAAAACATTCCCTCTGTAAAATCATATAAAAAATAACTTCTCATAACAGACTGTAAAAAATACAATTTTTTTGCATGAAATATCATGATATAGCTACTTCTTTTTAATCAAATATACAGGTGTTTAAAGAAAGACATCGTGACAAAATAACACTTGAAAATCTGTTGACGAAAGCTTAGAACTGGTAAAATAAATTAAACAGGATTTTCAGAATTCAACAAGTTTAATAACATGACAACTTTTAGCAGAAATATGCAAAAATTTAAATTTTAATACAATTAAAAGAGTAAAAATTAGTGAGAAATCTGTTTCTCATAGCTACTTATGGAGGAAAATATCATTGCCATATTACTGAAATTATTCAAGATATCATTAGTTACAAATTTTCAGCAAGCAACTGGGGCCCACAAATTGAAGAGAAAAACTACAGAATTTGCATAATTTAACACTAAATTTTCAAATGCAAATTTCTAAAAGATACTTTCTATGAAAGAGAGAGATAAAAATGAGAATATAAGTATGTATTGGGCTCAAAATATCCATTTGTAAAAATTCTTAATTTTAAAATTTCTTACATAATTAAATGGAATTTTAAAATTATTCTCAAATTAATACTGTTTTTTCAAAGAGTCTTTTCACTATGTGAGAATGCTGAAGTCAAATAAATTTATGGAGGCTGCTCTAGACTTTCTCAGAAGCAATTTTGCTCGTGTCTTATATGCCGAAATACAGGGTAGTATATAAAATTTCAAAATGGATAATACTTAATATCGAGTTTTGAGAATATTTATCTATAAACACAACAGTAGTCAACACAAAGCACAAATATCTGGTTGCATCACGGTTTAGTAGAATGGTGTCCTCACACCAGGGTACCTGGGTTCTGAGACCCTACCCTTTGTAGAACATGTCAGAAATTGTGAATACTGACAAGAAAAAAAGACCAAATATTTTCCATAATAAAGCAAGGAAAAAGGAAAAGTAAGTTAAAGTTTTAGAGAAAATTTAAACTAAGCAATATGCCAGTAACAGCAGGTAGGAAAAAACATCGAATATGCATGTCACTAAAAAGAAAAGTAAGAAAAGTAGGTAGTACTTATATCCATCAGTTCTTGGGTGTGACTGCTTAGTCTATTTCTTCTGCAATTCTCATGAGGTACATTGCTGCCTTGAAGCCTGCGGATAATTTATCTGCAACTGTCCTTGCTTTCTTGATTTTATCTATCTGCATGATGATATTGCTTAGGAAGTCCTGAATTTTCTCATCTTGGAGCCAGTTAATGGCTTCTCTTGGGATATTGAATCTTCTTCCCTTCACTTTGTCACTGAAACTTGGTCTGGTTCCATTCTTTAGCTCTGACTTTGCTTCCTTTCTACTCAAGAAGCTTAGACTTGGGAATTCCTCATCCATTAGGTTCGGGGGCTGGGAGCCTTTTTCAAACATATCTTGATAGGCCTTGCACCCACGGTAACTGCTAACATGTCCTTGTCCACAAAAAAATGAAGGTAGGAGCATCTTCTGGTTTTTTAGGGCATAACTTGGTGCTGTGTTTGTTTCCGCATTTACAACATCTTTCTTGATATTTGGATAATCGCTGGGTGTAATTTTACATCTATAACATTCCATCGGACGCTTTCTGGGGGCAAACTTCTCAATTCGTACACTGATGCTGAACATGTTATTCAGATTGAATATGGCACTTCCGGCAGCATTTCTTGTCACTTCCAGGAAGAAAATAGGCAGCTTTTCTGCCACTCCTCGTCTGGTTCTAGTGAATTGTCTTACTTTCTAGATCGAGAATTTTCTTTGCAACAGATCATTAAAAATCGCTTCTTCAGCAACTGTTTCTGGTATATTCTTTAGCATAGCCTTTACATTTTTTTCACTTGCCATCTGGTAAGTATGGAACGGAATACCTTGTTCATTTAGTGTTCTTGTCATTTTCCTGTAGTCGTCCGAGTTCTTGACATACACATAAATATTGTTAGTTTTCATATTTGCCTCATATTCTTCAGTACAGCAGTTTTGAAAAATTTCATCCACTTTCAGCCAGTCCGTCAAATTTTGTCGAAACACAATGGGTGGAGGTGTTTCCTTTACAATAACTCCACCTTCCTCATTAACATCTTTTCTCCTAGCTGATTGAAGGGATTTTCATGCGCGATTTCCATAATAGCCTCTTTCTCCGGGGATTTTGCAGTTTTCCTTGGAATTTTCCAATCGCTGTCTGATTTCTCATTATCCACCTGGCTCTCTGTCTCTTTCTGATCACCTTCGTTGCGCTTGAGTTTCTTGGCATTTTGAATGTCCTGTGGAGCCGTCGCTTGCTCACCTAATCCCGTGTTCGCAAGTCCCATGAGGTGTCCCATTCCATGATGCCTTAAACTCTCAATCAAAAGTGCCAATTTTACCTGCTCAGTTGAACCAGAAATGTCTGTCTTTTCTTCTGTGCAAGATTTGCCTCTCTTCTTTTTCCCTTTCTTTACAAAATCCGAGATTTCGTCTATAACCTTGACCTGTCCGTGTCCATTCCTTCGTCATCCGTAGATTCTGCCGGTGCCTGTAGAAGGACATTTTGTTATACCTGAGAGTACCTAAATCAAAATTAGAAATCGCAGTAAAAAATAATAAAACACTTTGCTGTCCGCCTTCTGCCGAAAAACATTCTTAATAAAGTTAAAAAATAAAACATGAATGCACTACCTTTAGTGCACGTAGTAATTCATCGCCACTCAAATCTATGATTTTCTACCAATGTTCTGGTAGTTTTTCAAAGCCTTCGGCCCAAATACTTAATGACCGAGAGTCCAAAAACAGATCAACCTCATTTCGGACAGCCTGTGCAGAATGGAAGATAGCACCTGCAAGATGTAGCTGCATGTGTGAAAAAAGGTAGTGACGTTGAGGTTATATGGTGAGTGTGGCAAAAGATACCACTGAAGTTCATACAGAGTCCAGCCAATGAATGCAGACACACATGGTCTCGCATTATCATAATGGAACATTTTCTTTTTGCGCCGGAACTCAGTTCGATGTTTTTCCGTAATAGCAATGTCAACGTGGACTAGCATATCTCTGTACACCTTACTGTCAAGGGTTTTACGATTTTCCAGATACTCTTTGTAGATAATACCACGGCAATCCCATCAGATACAAAGCATGATTTCTTTGTTAATCACACTATGCTTTGCGATGCTGCCGACAGGCTCACTGGCTGCAGACCAACACCCTTTTTGGCCTGTGTTGAAGAAAATCCACTTTCCATCACAAGTGATGATCCAGACCAGAATTTTGTCCTTGCATTGATAATCGAGCACATTAGTGTATTCCTGAACATGTCTGTCCTCATCTGTTTCAGTCAGCTTATGCGGCACCTAGCAATTGAACTTTTGCAGGTTTATGTGATGCATAACACAACTAATGGACATGGCACTAAGGTCTAAATCCTTAGCAAGCTCTCAAGTGGTTGCATACTGATCTTCTTTCACAAGTTCTCCCAGGTGTTCCTCATCAACATCAGCAGGCCAGCCAGAGAGCTCTGATTCTTGAGAATGTTGAATGTCCTTGTTTTTGAACTTTCGAGACCAAACCTTCACAGTATCATATGACCTAAAGCTATCTATACACATGATTTGGTGACATCCTGTAGCTGACTTTTTGCAACAGAACTGGAAGTAAATGATGGTTCTAATCTGGCAGTGTAATAGTTCCATTTCAGACACCTTGTACTTAATGACAATATTTTTTTACAATTTTCACAACACAGTGTTTTAAAGCAAGTCTCTTTCTTTCGAATGCCAAAAATTGTTTGTCAAAATATGATTAAACATACCAATGTGAACTTTTTGCACAGACGATATTTGAAGTGGCAGGAAACTTTCATTAAAACCGATACAATAGCTAAATACCTTAATTTGTTCATCTTTATTCCATTTCTTTCTTTTTCTTCTTCTTCTTCTTTTTTTTTTTTTTTTTTTTTTTTTTGTTTTGTTTGTTTTGCATGTCTGTGTGTGTTTC